TTTTTTTTGTGGTACGCGGGCCTCTCACTGTTGTGGCCTCTCCCGTTGCGGGGCACAGGCTCCGGACGCGCAGGCTCAGCGGCCCAGGCTCACGGGCCCAGCCGCTCCGCGGCACGTGGGATCTTCCCGGACAAGGGCACGAACCCGTGTCCCCTGCATCGGCAGGCAGACTCTCAGCCACTGCGCCACCAGGGAAGCCCGACCTTAACCATTTTTAAGTGTACAGTTCAGTGACATCGAGCATATTCACATTGTTGTGCAACCATCACCATCATCCATTTCCAGAACTCATTTTATCTTTCCAAACTGAGACTCTGTCCCCATTAAACACTAACTCCCCATCTCCCTCCACAGCCCCTGGCCCCCACCTTCTACTTTCTGTCTCTATGAATTTGACTTCTCCAGGGACCTCATATAAGTGGAATCACACAGTATTTGTCCTTTTCTGTGTCTGGCTTATTTCACTGAGCATCATGTCTTCAAGGTTCATCTATGTTGTTACAGGCGTCAGAATTTCCTTCCTTTTTAAGGCTGAATAATAATCTGTTGTATGGATGGACCACATTTTGTTTAGCCATTCACCCATTGATGGACATGGGTTGCTTCCACCTTTTGGCTACTCTGAGTAATGCTGCTGTGAACATGGGTGTATAAATATCTCTTCAAGACCCTGCTTTCAATTCTTGTGGGTATAGACACAGAAGTGGAATTGCTGGATCACATGGTAACTTTATATGGCAATTCTATTTCTAATTTTTTGAGGAACCTCTATACTATTTATGCAGTGACTGCACCATTTTACATTCCCATTAACAGTGTACAAGGGTTTCACCTTCTCATCCTCACCAGTACTTTTTATTTTCTGGTTTGGGTTTTTTTGTTTTTGTTTTTGTTTTCAGTAGCCATCTTGGTGGGTGTGAGGTGGTGTCTCCTGTGGCCTTGATTTGCATTTTTCTAATGATTAGTAACATTGAGCATCTTTTCATGTGCTGATTGGCCTCAGTTTCTCAGCCGTAAGAGGATTATGCTGCACCCCCACCCCAGATTGTGTGCAGAGGGCCTGCAGTAACATACGTGTGTAAAATGTGCATCTTAGTGCCTGACACACAGTAAGAGGTTGATAAATGGCAGCTGCTATTAAGAAGATATTATCAACATATAGTAATTCTCCAAAAAATATTTGACCGTGTCTTTTCCTTGCAATTAAATTGAATTCTTACTAAATTATTAGTACAGAGAGAGTTTTTACAAACTGTTGTAGGCACTGGCATTCATTAATGTGCACATGCTACTTCTTGGCTGAGCAATAAGTCAAGGTATTCAGGTTATCAGGCGAGGCAGTCCTGGTGCTTGGCATTCTAAGTATGCGGCCGATAGCATGATCCTTGATCTGTGGCTATGTCTGTGTCCACAACATGTAACTGTGATGCTGCATCATCTCTACTCTGTTTATTAGTCTTGATCTTAAAATTGAAAACTGATCTCTTAAATCATTTGACATTTTAAGTTACTTTTTCCCTTTGCTGCTTTCTCAGACTTTGGCAAATTTCTTTTTTTTTTTAATATGGTTTCACCTTCATCTTTATAAACTGTTCGCCCTTGCACACCCTTGAGAAGGGATGGTCTTGAAAACTTTAATGACATGGGTGCTTATGATCTAGTTTTAAAAATAGGCTGTAAAATTGTGTGATCCTAACCGTTACCATTAAAAGCGTATTCAAAGCTGTTGCAGCGTTGCTTGTTCTTATTCCACTCACACCCGCGGCCCACTCGAAGGGAGTGAGCTAAAGTACCACAGCAGCAGTTGTGCAAGAGACAGCAGAGCATTTCACCTGTAATCCTGTTTCCTGTTTCATGACGTCTGTAGTGTGGTTATTACCTTTATAATGTGTAATAATTATATAAGAAATACATAACATATAATAAATATCTAGCTGTGTGACTCTAGCATGTGGCCGACAGCCCTGAGTGGGTGAGAGGAGGTGTGATCGCCACCCCTCAGGGTAGGGGTCACCAGATTTTTCTGCTCTTCCTTTTTCTGTGGGAGCACATGACGAGCTCTTAGGGCTCAGGAAACACTACATGAAGGTGACGATGACCAGAGAATGTACTCTTCTCTGTCAGATGGGCGTTTCAGCTCCTTTTGTGTAAAAGCCCACACCACCCTTTGTCTGCTGACCTGTTTACCATAAGTATGTATTACTTTTTCCATTTAAAAAAAGTGAATTAAGAGTAAACAACAACAACAACAACAAAAGAGTAAACAACAGCTGCAGAGGTGGATAGAGATGGCACCCAAATTTCTGCCTAATGAACTTTTAGGTTCATTTTATGAAAATGTATTAGATACCAGGTACATAGTCGAATGCATACGAGGAATATAGACTCAGAAGTGTACACTGGGAGATGTCCCAGAGGGTGCACAATGCGGGACGCTCTCCTAGAACACCCCAAGACGTGCTCCGTCTGTCTGTGCCCCGATGCCTGCAGTGATAGAAGTCCTAGTGTGGCTTCAAAAACAGGCCGTTCTGGGTTTTGGCCCACTTATAATTATTAGTGTTCTTTCCTTAGGCTCGACTCAGTTTCTGAGTTGTATCTTCTGAAGCTGCTCTCTCTCCCATGTGACAGCCCTCCAGATAGCTGAAGCCCCGACACGCATGTCACTTCCAGCCTGCACAGCCCCTCCTCGTACAGGTGCTGTGGACCAGGAGGCTGAGAGCCGGCAGCAGCCTGCACCGCTCACAGCACGCTGTCGGCCTCACACGGGGGCCCGTCTCAAGTGTTTGTTTGGATGACGTGTGCACAGAAGAAGGGGTTTGGGCGGGAGAAGGGGTGAGTTCGGCATTGCACTGAGCTTTAACTTTCTTGTTACCACGTTTTGTTTCGCTGCGCCTCTCCTTTCATTCTCACACCCACTCTTCACCAGGGTCTGCGTTCCCGCCCGGGGGTCTGGTCTGGGTCCAGCCTCCCCCTTTCAGTGCAGTGGTAAGGGGTCTCCAGTCACCTCTCCAGTCACACTCACCCTCTGGGCCTTCCTAAGCCTCATGGGTCACATCACCTGGAGAAGCTGAAGCTCCCCATCAGGCAGCCCCCCAAAGTCCACCTCACGGAGGGTGGAGGAGGGAGGGCAAAGCAGGGCCACTGGGTCTGAGACGGCAGCAGGCACCATCCTCTCAGGACCGCAGGCTGCGAGAGGACCTTAGCCTTTAACTTGGTTTCTGTTGCCTTCCAGCTTCCTCGGAGGGCAGCGTGCGGTCTCTACAGGAAGCTGAAGTGAAAGGATCCGGGGAAGAGGCCCCCGCATCCATGGACACAATGACCAAAAGCCGGTTCTTCCGCCTGTGGCTGGTCTTGGGGTCCGTCTTCATGATCCTCCTGATCATCGTGTACTGGGACAACATGGGCACCGCCCACTTGTACCTGCACACTTCCCTCTCCAGGCCTCACATCCTGCAGCCCTTCCCCAGCCCCAAGCCAGGGGACGGCAAGTATTTCACCGCCAGCATTGAGGAGATTTTGGAGAAGCTCCTCAGTGCTCATGCGAAGCAGAACATCCTTCTGGGTAGAAAGGTGGAGCAGCCCTCCCTGCTGGCCTCCAGCAAGCCTGTGCTCAGCAACATGGAAGAGAGTGTGAGGGGCTACGACTGGTCCAGCCACGACGCCCAGCAGAGCCTGGACCCAGACAGGCGGCAGGCCGAACGGAGGAGCGTGCTGAGGGGGTTCTGCGCCAACTCCAGCTTTGTGTTCCCCGCCAAGGAGCGCTCTTTCGATGACATTCCCAACTATGAGCTGAACCACCTCATCGTGGACGACCGCCACGGGGTCATCTACTGCTATGTGCCCAAGGTGGCCTGCACCAACTGGAAGCGTGTGATGATCGTCCTGAGCCAGAGCCTCTCGGACCAGGGCACGCCCTACCGTGACCCCCTGGACATCCCCCGGGAATACGTCCACAACTCCAGCACCCACCTGACTTTCAACAAGTTTTGGCGCCGCTACGGGAAGTTCTCCCGCCACCTCATGAAGGTCAAGCTGAAAAAGTACACCAAGTTCCTGTTCGTGCGGGACCCCTTCGTCCGCCTCATCTCAGCCTTCCGCAGCAAGTTCGAGCTGGAGAACGAAGAATTCTACCAGAAGTTCGCCATCCCCATGCTGAAGATGTACTCCAACCACACCAGCCTGCCCAAGTCGGTCAGCGAGGCCTTCAGTGCAGGCCTCAGGGTGTCCTTCGCCAACTTCATCCAGTACCTGCTGGACCCTCACACCGAGAAGCTGGCGCCCTTCAACGAGCACTGGAGGCAGGTGCACCGCCTCTGCCACCCCTGCCAGATAGACTACGACTTTGTGGGGAAACTGGAGACCCTGGACCAGGATGCCACCCAGCTGCTCCGGCTTCTCAAGGTGGACAAGCTGCTCCAGTTCCCCCCGAGTTACCGGAACAGAACTGCCAGCAGCTGGGAGGAAGGCTGGTTTGCCAAAATTCCCCTGGCCTGGAGGCAGCAGCTTTACAAACTCTACGAAGCAGATTTTGTCCTCTTTGGCTACCCCAAGCCTGAAAATCTACTTAGAGACTGAAGGCGATAGGGGAAAATTCTGAACACCAAAAAAAAAAAAAAAAAAAAAGTGCTCGTGTTGTTACTTTAAACCTGAATGAAGGGCCTGTGGTACCGCGACCATCTCCCGGAGGATGGAGCAATGCGTTGCCGCATATATTTTTATATGGCTTTGTTTCTCTCCTGGTGTGACACATCGCAGAATTCCACAGTGCTCCTGGTGGCGAGTCAGCTGGAAACACCTGGAATTGACCACACCCACACTCTACTTTGTAAAATACCCTGCGATTTTGCAGTCTAGACTTGCTGTTTACTCCCTCCCTGTATTCATTGAGTACTGTGTTAATATTGTTTTTTAAGATTAATATATTTCAGATATTTAATATGAAAAGCGGAGAAGGAAATGGTGGAGTAAAAGGTTACATCTGCTCCTTCTGCCTGCACTTGTGGTTATTTCGTTGGAGCGACAGATGCTCATTCAGGGACTCCAAGCGACATAATGGCTGACGCTTAGGCCTCAGAATCTCGATTTCAGGAAGGGAGGGTTCATGGTCGTCTTCAGCAAAAAGGAGGAACTTGAGTTTGAGATCAGACGTCACTGTGTTTGTGCAAGGGTAGCAGACAAATCCTTCAAAAGTGAAAGCTCTCTTATTAGGTGATACATGTGAAAAGGGAAGGCTGTTAATAAGGGCCTCATACTTGAGATCATATCGAAGGTAAATCGTACATCCAGGTCACAGTCACAGAGGCTGGATTTTAACTCCAGCCACCTCCTTTAATTTGTCAGTCACGGATATAAGGATTTGCAGTGGCAGGGACGGTGTGGTAGGAGTTTATCCCTAGAATGTGTCCCCAGCATCAGCAGGGCGAGGCTCAGGTGGGGTCTCATTGCCAAGCTGGCTGGTTCGATTCAGCTTCAGGGACGTTCCCTCGAGGACATGACTGACAGGGATCTTCACGTTCAATGGCCCTGCCTTGGTGAAGGTAGGTGTGTGCTAATCCAAGAAGGCTCTTTTTGAACATCTGGTTCAAATGCCTTTGCAGGTTTTGCTCTGAACCCGTAATTGGTGAGAAGCGTGCGGTCATTTCGTGGAGTTTGGGCATCACATTCGACCGTGTCTTCTTAATCTGTAGCATTTGGTCCTAGATGCCCAGTTCCTGAAGAGCTGGCAGAACACGTGGAAGGCCTCCCCCCGGGTGTCCTTGGCGGGTGGTGGCCCTGCTTTTGCCAGCTGTGAGGTGGTGCTGTGTGTGGCTGGAGCCCGGGCCTCTGGTGCTCACCTTGCAGCTTGGAGCTCCACAGTATTAGAAACCACCACTTCCTTTGGAAGCTTCCCTTCTTTCCGTAAGACAGTCGGCAGCCGGTACACAAACTTGAGGAGTCCAGTCTCAGAGTACTTGTCTGAAGAGGCGCCTGCCTCTGTTGGGAGTTTTTCACTGAAGTGTGTTCATTTCGAGAATATTCAGACAGATGTCAAAACTCATTGGGTTGTGAGCTTTTTTCTTTTTTGCACTACGCGGCCCTCTCACTGTTGTGGCCTCTCCCGTTGTGGAGCACAGGCTCCGGACGCGCAGGCTCAGCAGCCATGGCTCACGGGCCCAGCCGCTCTGCGGCATGTGGGATCTTCCCGGACCGGGGCACGAACCCGCATCCCCTGCATCGGCAGGTGGACTCTCAACCACTGCGCCACAGGGAAGCCCGGTTGTGAGCTTTTTAAGGGCAGGGCTACATCTCCTTCTTTCTGTATTCCTGGTTCTTGGCATAGTTACCCAGTAGGTCGGTTTCTCTGGGTGTCGGAGGCATGTTTGCAGGGATGTTGAGGCCCAGGGACTGTTGGAGTGGATGCCAGCTGCATCCACACAGCCACCCAGATTCCTGTGCCAGGGCCCCAGCTGCTGCCTGCGCCGGAGGGACGACTCAGGTTGTGATGGCAGAGAAGGTCCTCCTGGTCTCGGTGTGTGGTGGGGGGTGAGGCAGGCTCCAGGAAGAGAGGGGAAGCCCGCACCTCGCCTCTTTCTGGGGCGTGAGCCTGAGAACTCATTCCTTTTGTTCTGTGCCATTTCCCTGACCCACACAGTAGTATCTTGTACAGGAATTTGGCTCCATGATTTTTGCGGCTAAGATACTAGAAAAATTTTTAAATTGATGCTGTACAATTAGACAATTTAACCAAACAATTCCATAAACTTAAAATTCTTTATTTTGCCTCCGTCTTCCAGCCCTCATCAACACATTTACCCACAGTCCTAATAACACTGTGGTTTTGTGGTACAAAATCCTCTCCCATGTCATCTCTGAGCCTCCAGGGCGCTGTGCCTGTTTACAGTCAGGGAGAGAGCGCAGGAGAGACTCGCCCAACACGCAAGGCTGTGGGCGTCCGAGCCTGGCCTGGACTTGGGCCTCCTGACCCTGGTGCTGTGCATTTTCCACCTCACCCAGGTGTTTAGCACACTTGTGGGGGGGCGGGCGGCGGGGAGGGTCTGTGAGAGAGAGATACTGTTGGTCCTCTTTCCTCTAAGAGTGTCTGGTACACTTTTTCACACATTGATACAGCGTATCCACTTCTGGCCTCTAATGAATATTTAGGCAGTGTTCTGCCGTATTGCTTTTACCATCTACTTTTAAGGAATTTCTACTATTTGGAGACTTTTAAGCTTGTTTTTCAGCAAGGGCTGGGATCTCACTTCTCTCCCCAGTGCAGTTAGTGGGCACCTGCATCCATACTTTGGTGAAGGTGGGACTTTAACCCGACTCTGCCACTAATGGGCAGTGAGAGGGGCTGCCCTGGCCTCCCCAGTGCAGGGGCTGCCCTTGAGCTGGTGAGCAGGGAGCACAGGGCTGGAAGGGGCAGGGCAGGCATTCCCATCCTTGGGATGGGACAGGAGCCTAAGGGAAGAGGGCCGGGCGTTGTGGGGACAGAGCAAAGCAGACGCTGTGAGAAGCATGCCTGTCTCACCCGCCTGCCCTGGGAGGCTCCCTTCTGAAGCACATGGAGCCCACCTGAGGTTTCCAGGACTGTGCTTCCCTGGGATTTATTAGAGGCAAATCTCTGCACTCAAACGTGGACACTGCTAACCCCTATCGCAGTTTGAGTCTCCTTCCCATTCATCCCGTTCCTAGAGCAGGGCCTGGCACTCTGTGGGCACACAGTAACTGTTTACTGAGTGAGTGAGGAGATGAATGATGCTGTTTGAGCCTCGTTCCAGGCTGTGAGCCAGGACGGCTGCCGTCATTCTCCCCACGTGTTTAATAACAAGGTGGCTAGGGCTGGTGGAGGTTCGGTGACTGACCCTGAGTGGGCTTAGAGCTCACTCCCTGTGACTTTTGGCACTTTCTAAGCACCATGTTGTCTGTGGGGCTCATGAGGACAGCTTGCACTATTTCTGGGGAACTAAGTGTTCACCTCTGGTTCAGAGAATAATAATGTGTTTGTATTCCCTTCCTGTATTCTCTCTTCCCTTTGGAGGGTGCTGTCGCTTGCCTTTTCCTCTCAGAGAGAACGAGGATTGCTGTATTCCATGCTTGGCTTCCACAGCCCTCTGCTGAGGGAGGCCTGTGTCCTTCAGGAGCCGGCCAGGGTGCCCCGTCCCTTCCCTGCCCCTCACCCCCCACCCCCTTGTCACCTCGAGAGCCTTCGTGGGCTGGAGACCAGAGTGGAGAAGAGAAGCAGGTGGTCCGCCCCTGGCGCCGTCTGGGAGCTCATGGATGTCTCCCTCGTGTGGTTCCAAGGCCCCACATGCTGTTTCCTTCCCCAACAGGCACGTGTCCCCAGACATCTGCTGCCTTGGCTGCACCTTTGTGGGAGGGACCTAGCTCTAGACCAGCTGTGCCGGCCCTGTTTATTAAACGTGGCACCGGATGGGTTCCCAGCAGCAGGATTTCAGGGGATGCGCCGACATCCCCAGAGCCGCCTTCTTGAGTTTCTCTGGAAGAAGTTGGGTTTCTGGTGGGATTTGCTCCTCAGCCTGTGCTGTGTCCCCACTTGGACAGCAGAGCGTCTCAGAGGCCTGGCGTGATGCTCTTGACAGAAGGTCCAGGATGGTCTGTTCTCCTCAACGGCCCCATCCTGCAGAGTGACAGGCTCCCAGATGTCATGCAGACCCGAGGGCGTCCACTCACCCGAGCAAATTATCCGGGGGTAATTATTGCCTATTTATTGATCAGCTACACTTCCTTTTCTGCCTACCCCACACTCCAAAACCTGAAAATATGAACAGGTAAAACTTGGATAACACAGACATAATTCATCTAAAAATGTGAAGTGCGTCTCCCAAAGGGAAGTTTGGAAGGACTCTTTCTGGTCGACGTCTGTTGTTTTTTGCCGACACAGGTTCCTCCTTCTGGTCAAAGAGCCCATCACTGTCTCCCTCACTCTTAGCCCAGGAGACTTGAGCAAGGCCATCCCCACCCATGCCTTAGCGCTGGCTAGGCTGCCAATGCATTCTGAACCCATCAGTCCCAGTGCCCTCTGCTGGAAACCTCTGAGTGGGGGCTTTACCAGACTGGAGGGACAGAAGCCACTCCTAGAAGAGCTGCACCGAGACTCAGACCGCACGGTGAGGGCACAGGGCTGGGAGGAGTGCGGACGGCCTGGGGGACGTGCCCTGCGCTTTGCAGGTGTTGCGGGGCCAGTCGTTTCCACTCGCTTAAGCTCATTTGAGCCGGATTTCTGGCATTTAACATACGGGATCCTGACTCGCTATTTAATCTCTACCCTGGATCCGGCAAACTAGGGCTAAAGAGAGCCCGTTAGTGAAGAGAAACCATTGACCTTCTGAGCATACTGGCTGTTGCTCATGTAGGTGTGAACAGTTTATCAGCATCATGAAACTTTCTAGATGTTCCCTTACTCTACCAAGGCCCAGTGGCTGGCAAAGGGCCCCCCTGGGATGCCAGTTCAAACCAGCAGAGAGATTAAGGGACTGCGGGATATTTTTTCTTTGGGGAATTATTTCATCATGCATCATCCAGAGGGAAGCTAATGAGGAAGCCACCTGCTTTGAACTCATCTCTGCCTTTGC